GAAAGAATAGTGCCTGGGACCTTGATGAGGAATACATACCCATACTTGGAGGCCAAAGGGATGAAGTAACTGACTCAAGGCTACACAGATGATAAGTAGAGAAGCCAAGACTAGAACCCAGGTCTTCAGAACTCCAAATCTGGTATATCGTTCACTTTATCATGGCACCTCTGTTATTTTCAGTAAATTGTGTCTGGACAGAGTACCATTTTCTATTTATAGCGCCATCGTCTATTTCAGGAAGATTTTGAGGCAGATGAAATACTGAAGAAATTGAGCCCCTTAGAAGCTGAGCTTGTTAACGATCCTAGCATGAACTGTAAAGTTAAATTCAGGTAATCTTTTTATGTTGATTAATTTCAAGATGTACTTGGTTAATATGAAGAAATCTTAGAAATTTATTTTCTTAAGTTCTCATAACCTCTCAGGGTATAATTCCAAAGTAAACATGTTGTTCTTGTTTACATTCATTAGGTAAAGAAACTGAGTCCTGACTCTTGGGCCAAAACTTGCCTTGAGCGTGCCTCTCATCTCCCATGATGTGACCACTAACATATGTATGGAAATAGTTGTGAGCACACATGCCAAAGTGTGGCTCTTCCATCTCTTGTAATCCATTTCATTACCAGTCATTTCTATGCTCTAGCATAGCCCTTTCCCTGCATGCAAGAAACTATCCGAACTATCTTAAGTACAAGGGGAAGAAGTAACTGAGCCCCAAACCTGATGCCAAATGACTAATTTTTGTTCTTTATATCAGATTTAGTGGTGAAACATTTCCACCGTGCATCGTGTTTAAAATTTTTCTTCATAACCAAGGCCATGGTTACAAGTATTTCAGCGGAGAAAATATACTAAAGCCATCAAATAAGGTAATGCTTCACGATGGACATTTTATGTTAATTTAGCTTCTTAACATCTTACACATCTTAACATCTTAACATAGATATGTAGTATCTGAATTGCATTTAAGTATACAGACAAAGTTATTTCACCATTAAACAGCCAAGTGGCAGATTGTATTTTTTTTTTAAGCATCACATTTCGAAGTGTTTCTAAAAAATATTTGAGATAATTACTTATATAAGGCCTTAGAAAATACCCACCAGTATTCTTTGTATTAAAAATTTTGGTTTGTTTATAATGGACTAAAGTGGCCTATTGGTCAGGGCTTTAAAATTATGTAGAACATTCTATGCCATTTTTTTTAATGGCATTTTATCATTGTTTCTATAATTTTAGTAGCAAATTTAGAAAAACCGTGCTGGACTATTGGAAGTGAACTTTTAAAATATTTATCCTTTCTTATGAGTTCTCATACTTTTAAGTTTAAGGAATATTCACCAAAATTGTGTCTACAGCATAAGAATCCTCTGAGGATCTTGTTAAAAATGCAGTTTTTGATTCAGTAGATCTGGGATGGAGCCTGAGATTGTTCATTTTCAATCAGCATCCAGGTGCTGCTGCTGCTGCTGCTGCTGCTGGTCCATGGACCACACTTTTAGTAGCAAGGATCTACGCAGGTTTTAGTCCTTTGACCCTTACATATGACTATAACTGAGTTTTTAAAAATGTGTACCTTTTATAAACCATACATCAAAGGTTATTTTCCTGTAGTCTTCTGGAAATATTTTGCAAGAAAAGTATGGCTCATCCAAAATCATCAGTATTGGCATGAATTCAGGATAGAAGACCACACAGCTTGGCAGTTTCTGATCAGATCCAGCGTGTGCAGCATTTATTTTCTGAGAATATTAGAAAAGGAAAAGAGACTGCTTTTCTCTCTGTTTTCAGGCAATGCCAGAGAAAAATTTAACTCCGTTTCAGAAATGTATCAAATGGATTATGTGTTTTCATATGGAATATGGTGTTTCAGAAACATTAATATTTGTTCATTTATATAGAATGACTTCAAATGTGAAAGTAGATATTTATCTTGCATTCATGCCATATTTATGTACAGAGTAAGCTTATAGTTGGCCCTATAAAATATCATCAATTGTTGCTTTTCTGAGGTTATATAATGGAGCTTTTCCAGGAACTGAAATTCTCCTGGGTCTTCTCCTGGAGGCCCCTGCTGTCCCCAGGCTGGAGCAAACAAGAACTTTAGAGGCCGTGACTGGAAAGCACAGTGTGTACATTAAAATTCATGAAAATGCTGTATGATAGCTTAAATTTTTGTTTAAATTACAAAGTTAACTGTTGAAAAAAAAGGAAATAGCACAGAGAATATTTTTAAAAGGAAAATATGCCTTTATGCCTTTCTTCTCTGCACTGCAGCTTTCACTTGGCTGGGGTGATCACTGTTAGTAGTTTACTATATACAACCTTCATTTTTCCCGTGAAAATATACATTCAGCTATATTTTTTAAATGTTTTGTTCTTATTGTAAAAATGTGATCATACCACTCAGCTTGATTTTTTCACTAAATGTCATAAAGGTTTTACATGATGAGAACATACCCAACATGGAGAGAACAGTTTAGGGTTCCTTGTTCTCTTTAGTTCAGCTTCAGAGCAAACTCTGGTAACACTTGGATTCATGATTGATAGAAAACCTGTAGAAATTTAATTTTTCTCACTATAAGTTTACTCAGTTCCTTTGCTCTTTGAATGTAGAAATTGTATCTTTAGCCAACTGATTCAACTTTCCTAAGTTTACTTATTTATTAATATGAAAGAAGTCAGTTTTAGTCCATTCAGATATTTAATCTAAATTCGCTTATGAAGGAGGGGAGTTTCACAGATTTTTGTTGTTTCAGCTTTTCCCTTGTTCTTATTTCCATTTCTAGTTTCATTTTCTTATCATTTTCCAATGGCATTTCTAATGTATTCACACACACACACACACACACGCACGCACGCACGCACACAGACACACACACACACAGCAAAAACAAGTGAAAGGATGTAGAATAGCCTAACGAACTTTGGAGAAGAGCAAAGTTAGAAAATTTACACTGCCTAATTTCAAGACCTAAAAAGCCACAGTAATCTCAACAGTGTAGTGATGACATAAAGATAGACATGTAGATCAATGAAATAGAATAAAAATTTCAGAAACAGACTCATACATACATGATGAAGTTGATTTTCATTCAAGGTGCCTAAGCAGTTCAAATGATGCTAGAACAATCGGATAGCCATGTGTACAAAAAAGAGTTCTCATTTCAGTTACCTACTTCGATGATCTATTTTCAGAGCAATGCTTATTTAAAGAGGGTTGTCACTGTAGTTTGTCCACCGACTATATTTAGAATATTCTAAAGCCTTGTTACTCACAGTGTAGTCTACAGACCCACAGCGCTGGCAATCTGGGAAATTGTTAAAAATGCAGACTGTCAGGCCCCACCCTAGACCCACTGAATCAGCATCTTCTTTTTAACAAGACCCCCAGGCGATCCCAGGCACAATACAGTTTGATGAGCACTGTCCTAGAGGTCCCCCTCCACCATGGCCTGGAACACCTCTGGGTAATTGACAGTTCTTAAACATTAGCATTCAGCAACTGCTATTTTAAATTGAAGATCTCATTCTTTCTGAGGATTGGGCATTTATGTAAAAAGGAAAAACATTAATATTAATAATAGCTGCCCTTATTGAGCACTATCAAGTACAATGTTAAACATTTTATGTGCATTATTATTTAATTCTCATAAACTCAAGAATGTAGATTCTGTTATCATCTTCATTTTGAAAAGACTAAGTAACTCGCCTGAAGTCTCATAACAAGAAAGTGAAGGAACTGACATCAAAACCCAGTGAGCCTGACTCCAGAGCCCATGCTCTTAACCACTCCTGACTCAGGAACCCCACTAAGCACGTTCTCTTCTCTGCCCCCCTAATAATGTTATTCCCATTTTGCCTAAGAGGAAGCTGAAACTTGGAGGCTTATCAGGGGAAGAACTGAGACTTGAACACTTCTCCATGTTTCCGCTGCACTGTGCACATTTTGAGGTTGAAACAACACCAGCAATTATAATGGTTTTATAAATTCTGAGCCTGTATAGAATTAAACTGTTCCAAACCAAGAAACCGTTCCCATGCAGGGATGCCAGTTACTACTACCTTCATGACTGAGCATTCCCAGCTGTGCGGGTAAGTAGCTTGAGATGTTAGAGTAACTTGATAAACCCAAGTATGGATCTAGGCCAACCACAGGACTGTGGGGGCTTCTGGGCCACATTGATGCCGGGTATCAGGGGAGGTGTCAAATTTAGAGATTCCTCCCCTGGCCCTTTGAATCACCCACTGAGAATGGAACCTGCCCCTTGAATCCTAGTCTGATTGGCTGCTATCCTGGAATCCTTGTCTAGTTTTCATCCTTTCATTTCTTTTGGTGCTGGGTTCTTCTTGCCCGTCCCTTCCTATCCAAAAAGACTTTCCCGAATCTGGCCATACATGGCAGATGTATGGGAAAGAACATCTTGGCTATTGGAGGGCAAACTTTTTTCAAGCCCCTATCACAAGTGGGCAGCAAGCCTGCCCTGTGCTGCCAGGCGTAGGGTTTTTTGGCTGAGAGACTGGGATGAGCCTCACAGCTGAGCCACACAGCTGAGGCACTGTACAGGTAAACTGGGGTCTTGGGAGATTGGTGGCGGTAGCTGAGTGGAGTAGAGTAGGGAGGAACTGATGAGAAATACCTTTTTCAGTAACTAGTGGTAAAGTAAAATTTAATTATAGCTAAAGAAATTCTCAAAGCAGAAATTAAATGGTTTTCAGACCTGCTCAGTATACAGCGATTTGCTTTACCTTTAGCGTTACTGTGGGGATGGTTAATTAGAACCTACAGAAAATTAATTGCAAAAAACACATAATGGATCTATGTGCCAATACTGCCTTTTCTTTAGGTGCATGATGTATAAAGAAACTAATGAAACAGAAAACCAAAATAATCTGCCTAAAAGAAAGTTCCATCACATTTTTAGTAAACTATTTCTGTCCCTTTAGTGCATTATAAATTAAACTACAACCATTTGAATATTTTCTTTCATTTTCCACATGTCTGTATTCTAAGCTTTGGAATTAAAAAAAGTAAAAGAGTAATATTCTGGATAACAAAAGTGAGAATTAGAATAGAAACTACATTAAGGCTCAGTGTTGTATTGTTAGATAAAAAGAACAGATTCCGAGTTTTGATCCTGTGTCTCAACCACTCCTCTATGGACTTGTATCAGCATTGTATAACATAAGAGTTCCCATACTTTCACAAATATCACATTCTGACATACAAAGGAAAAGAGAAACTGATCTAGAATCAAAAGATATTTGAATTTCCATCTACGCCAGTCTCCCTTCACATAAGCATACCCTTTGTGGACAGAAGCACAGATACATAATACAAATATGTATTAGAAGAGGCAGCGCATACTCGTGAGGAGTGGGAAGGAGGGTGGGGAGTACTTAAAGCTCTGCTCAAGTCTCTGCATAGCTCTTAGCACAAGGAGAGACGTGTGTGGAAGGCTTGGTGGAAATAGGGCCAGACGGGATTCGAGCCTCAATATTTTCTGTGATTCTTCTATCTCTGCCTTCTCACGTGCTTTCTTTGACTATAAAAGGTTAAAAAACAAAACCCTTTGTTTGCCAATCTTTGGCTGCTGAGAATAAAGTCTGAAGGAGAGGGAGGTCTGAGCAATCTGAAATGTACCTGTTTCCATGTGGGGTCATATATTAACTAACATAAAAGAGAGTCGGCCCCATCCCTGTTCCTAGGGCAACTTATTTAATAACCAGATAAGCTCTCTCTGCATTGACAGCATGAACAGTGTTATAGATTTGGGTTTGTTTTGTTTGTTTGTTTTTTTAAGGGAAAAGAATGCTTTTTAAGGGAGAAAAAACATCTTTGAAAAACTAGTCCTCTGAGAATTGTAGACTCAGATACTCCTCTAGCTACATTTAAAAACTGTGGCCATGGTTATGGAAATAATTTCTAAGTTGTTTTAAAAATCCCTGTGTAATATTTTCTTTGTAAATACAGCCTATTTGTTGAATAGCAAGCTGCTAGAAGAAAGGAACAATATTTGATGTATTTGTCAGAAAAATATGTAAAGCGTGTGCTGATAATCATTGCTATTATACTATTTTAAAAGTCTGTTTTCTATTCTCTTTATAGGAAGCAGTTGATGCTTACAAAATAATGGGAAGAAAGACATTTCATGCTCAAATTAAGGAAGATGTGCATCTTTCCCACAAGTTCAGAGTAGCTGATGAAATAGATATTGTCACCCTGAAAGATTACATTCAAGTAAGAAATTTAGATTTAGATATTGAAAGCAAATAACAACAACAAAATCCTTGTGACCCTATCCTCCAAGAATCATACATTTTTATTGTGATAAAATATATACAATATAAAATTTACCATTTTAAAGTATACAATTCAGTGGCATTAAGTACATTCACAGTGTTGTGCAAACATCACCATCTAGTTCCAGAACCTTTTTGTCACCCCAGAAAGAAACCTCACACCCCTTAAGCAGTCACTCCCCATTCCTCCATCACTACAGCCCCTTTTAACCACTAATCTGCTTTTTTACTCTGAATTTGCCTATTCTGGATATTTCGTATTAATGGAATTATATATGTGACTTTTTGTGTCTGGGGAGTGATAGCTGGGAATGTGGGTTTCTTTTTGGTGTGATGGAAAAGTTTTAGAATTAGTGGTGAAATATAGTATGAATTTACTAAAAAACACTGAATTGTACACTTTAAAAAGGTTAAAATGGTAAATTTTATATTATGTAAATTTTATCGCAATAAAAATAAAAAATAAGTACATGGTGCTAGGAGAGTGCACAGGGATTTTTAAATTTTATTTTGCAATTACAGTTGACATTCAGTATTATTTTATATTAGAGAGTACACAGGGATTTGACCTAGTAAGGAGGGGTGCTGTTATTGTTTGGTTACTTTCAGCTACATGTAACAGGATATTCCCAACTACAAGAGGCTTAAACAATAAAGGATATTTATTGTGCCTCATAAGAAGTCCCTGATAGAAGGGTCCTGGAGTAACTAATGCAGCAGTTCAAGGACATCAGGATTCTGGGTACGCTTCTCTACAGTGCCCTTGGCTTCTTTCACATGGTAACAAGATGACTATCACATTCTCAGCTACATTCAAAAGCAGGAAGAAGGGGACTCCTAGCATCTTTTTCTCTTTATCTCAAGAAAAAAGTCTTTCCCAGAAGCCCCCGTAGACTTCCTCTCAGGTCCCATCGGTCAGAGCTGGATCACATGCTGCCCCTAAACCAATCACTGATAAAGGAAAATGAGATCATTCCCTATGATTGACTTTGAAGGATCATGGTTCATGTGCTGGGGCTCTCCTTCCCAGAGTATATTGCTTTTCTATACCTGAAAGAAAAAAAATCAGGACTCCATGAGCAAGGGAGAAGTGGGAAATAGTTGATGGGCAGGCAATCAACAATGTGTCATAGCCTCAGTCTGGGTCTGAGCAGGTGGCTCACCCGAGGCAAAGAGTCTGTGGCAGGAAGAGCCTCAGGGCCTGAAAACAGGTCTGTGGGGCTGGAGGAGAGCGAGCATGGAGAGTGTGGTATGCAGTCAGACTGGAGGGCTGATAAGAGATCATTATGCAGGCTTTTGAGCAAACTAAGGTATTCATTTTTTTCCCTTGATTTTGTGTGCGACAAGAAGCTGGCGCAATGTTTCAAGAAATCAGGTGATTGAATCTAATGGGTGAAGAGATCTGTGTGGCTGAAATGTAGAGAATGGATTAGAGGACAGCAAAAGCCTTCTAGTATGGAGGTTCCTGCAGTGTTTTAGGAGAGATGGTGGTATCTTGTTTAGGGCTGTGAGGCCAGAGATCAAAAGATAATTAGAGAATGAAAACAGTGGGCCTTGGTGACAGACAGGGAGGTAAGCTAAAGGAAGTTCCCCACCCTGGCTCTCAGGTTTCTGGTTTGCATAACTGATAGGACAGCAGTGCTGAATCAGGGAACTTAAACTAGATATAATAATAATAATAATAGCGGCAAATACTGATATAATCATGCTCCACTTAATGATGGGAATACATTCTGAGAAATGCATTCTTAGGCGATTTCGTCATGCAAACATCATAGAGTGCACTTACACAAACCTAGATGATATAGCTTACTACTAAAATTGTATATGCTATACTTTTATACGACTGGCAGTGCAGTAGATTTGTTTACACCAGCATCACCACAAACATGTGAGTAATAATATATTGAGCTACGATGTTATAATGGCTATGATGTCACTAGGTGATAGGAATTTTTCAACTTCATTATAATCTTATGGGACCACCATCGTTTATGAGATCTGTTGTTGACCAAAACATCATTATGAGGTGCATGACTGTAATACCAACTCCTTTTATTCTCATAACAACCCTAAGAGCTAGGTACTATTATTACCCCATTTTACAAGTTCTAAAGAACAAGGCATCCCAAAATTCTAGCTCATAATAATAATATATGGCGTTAACAGTTCACTCAGTTGCATCAATGTGAAACACAAAATTAATACAGTGCCTTAGAGACTCACAGTTCTGTTTTCTTTCTTTTAGAACCTTAACCTAGAATATTAGGGAATTGGACCAAGAAGTAAGTAGAGCTTGGGGATGCCAACTATGCAGATCATGTCTGTGTAAAGAATTGATGTCATAGAAAGAAGTCCCCAAACTGAGATATTGGAAGACATATATAATTGCTGATATCTATTGAGCCCTTTATGGACACAGCACAGTTTTTAGCTCTTTATGTGCATATTATCTCCTTTAATCTTCATGTTTATAAATTGTGACCCTTTAACAGATGAGAAAATTAAGTTTAATAAGATTTTTAAAAACTTGCCCAAGGACACATAGCTAATAAGTGCAGAGCAGATCATTGATAGTTCTGAGATGTTTACCCATTTTACTACTTTACTCTTGGGAAATAAAATACACGGGTAGTCCTCACTTTGCAAAGTAGCGCAGGGCCACAAAAAGGACTGTACAATTTGAAACTCTGCAAAGCATACTTAATAATCAATGGGAAAATTTTTATTGTTCCGTGCCTTTAAAAAACCTTGTCAAAACATTTAAAATTCTCCTATTGTCTGTTATATATATAT